GGATTACAGGTGTGAGCCACTGTGCCAGGCCTATTTAGTTTTTATAGGCTTTGATATTTGGGGATACAGTTGCCACAGGCAGAAGTTCTTTCTTCCGTCTGTGTTGTTGTTGTTTTGTTTTATTTTTAGAGACAGGATCTTGCTCTGTTGCCCAGGCTAGAGTGCTGTGATTATAGCTCACTGCAACTTTGACCTCCTTGGCTCAAGCGATCCTCTCACCTCAGCCTCACGGGAGTGTGCCAATACAATTGGCTAATTTTGTTTTTATTTTTTTGTAGAGATGGTGTCTCACCATATTGCCCAGGCTGGTTGCAAACTCCTGGCTCAAGTGAGGCTGTCTTGGCCTCCTAAAGTGCTGGAATTACAGGTGTGGGTTGAAACAGACTCTGGGTAGGACAGTAAATTGGGGCCCTTCGTATCCTCACTTCATTGCTCCATCCATTCCGATCTGGCGTCCAGCCTCATTATTGGCCTCCCCGTTACCACCGCTGACTCAGCAAAAGCACCTCCAGCTGGCTCTCTTGCTAAGGTCAACAGTGACCTCAAACCAAGCCTAATGGATATTTGTCAGTCCTCATTACTTGATTGTTCAGCATGAATTGATGCTGTTGACTCTTCTCTCCATCTAGAAACTTTCTTTCTTTGGGTTTTGTGTCGCCGTATTCTGGTTTTCCTCCCACCCCCCTGCACTTCTCAGTCCTTTGTGAGCTCATCTTCTTCCATCCAGCTTCGGTTGCTGTGGCTGTTTTTGAAACACAGCCTCGCTCTGTCACCCAGGCTGGAGTTCGGTGGTGTGATCTCAGCTCACTGCAACCTCCACTTCCCAGGCTCAAGCCATCCTCCCACTTCAGGCTCCTGAGTAGGGGGAACTACAGGCTTGCGCCACCATGCCTGGCTAATTATTGTATTTTTGGTAGAGATGGGGCTTTGCCATGTTGCCTAGGCTCCATCCAGCTTTTTAGGGGGCATCCCTGTAGGCTTGCTCCTGGACCGCCTTGCATTTCTGCTCCACACACTCAACACAGTCCATCCCCACTATGCCCGTGATGTCCTCCCATACACCAATGGCCCTCATGCTTGTATCTCGCTTTGGAGCTTCAGGTTCACGTATTAAATGTTTGGATGTCTCAAAGTTCCCTTTAACACAGTGTATCCAAGGTAAACTCCCCTAACCCTGGTCCTGCACCAGCGGTCCTCTCTGTGACTGGTAATGAATGCCAGTGAATAAATAACCACATTCTATATAGTTGGGCACACTAGGAACCCGTGACTTTTCCTTGACACCTTCCTCTTTCTAACACCCTGTGAGCCAATCCTATCAGGTTTCCGCTTAGTGTCTCTTGATTCCATCCTTGTCCCTCCATCTCTATTACCACCACCCTAGTTCAAGGCTCTCTCCTGGACGAAAGCTTCCAAAGCAAGTTCCTGTATCCACTCTTGCCTCCCTTTGGTTTCTCCATGCTGAGGTGCAAGTGACAGTGATGAAAGGCTAAGCAGATCAAATGGCTTTCCTACTTCGCATTTCCTCCACCACCCGCATGGCTGGGCTGCCGCCGCCTCCCCAGCTCTTGTTCTCAGCACCCAGAGCACTGGCCTTCTTTCAGTTCCCCCAGCACTGTCCTCCCGCCCACTGTGGGGCCTTTGCACAAGTGGATCCTTCTGCTTCCCCTTCCCCTTTCATGTAGGTATCTCCCACTGCAACCTCAGATCTCAGCTTAAACACCACTTCCTCTGTCTCACACCACAGACAATATTGAAGCCCTTACAATGTGCGACATTAGCTTTCTGCAGACTTTCCCCCGTAGAATCCGTCACCTTTGTCACGACATGTGTTTAATATCCAGTTGCTGTCCCATCTGTCCAGCAGCCCCTGTGCCTCATGAGGGCAGGGTCTGTGTCTGTGGTGCTGTGCCCTCTCCTTTCTCGACCTCTGCGCACTCTTTCACAACCCTCGGCACCGTTCTCCTCCCCCTCCACCATGGCCAGCTCCCGTTTTTCTTCAGGACTCAGTTTAGACATTGAATGCTCCTTTCCCCACCCCTCAAAGGCTAAGGTAGCTGTCCCTTTTGACCCTACAGAACCCCTGCATTCCTTTGCCAGTTTGCATTTTTTCTTTTCGTTTTTTTTTTGAGATAGGGTCTCAGTCTGTCACCCAGGCTGGAGTGCAGTGGAGTGATCATAGCTCAATGCCAGCTTGAAGTCCTAGGCTGAAGTGATGGTCTGTCCATGACCTTTCCAGTAGCTGGAACTACACGCATGCACCATCACGCCCAGCTAATTTTTATTTTATTTTATTTTTAAGTAGAGATGAGCTCTCGCTATTTTGCCCAGGCTGGTCTCAAACTCCTGGGTACCAGCAATTCTCCCGCTTGCCTCAGCCTCCCACGATGTTGGGATTACAGGCCCACACCTTGCCTGCCATATTGCATTTATGGCACTGTATTGTAATGGCTTATTTACTTCTCTGCCTTCTCCAGGAGACTCTAAACTCCAGGAAGACAAGAGTTGTGTATTGTTTATCCTTCATTCCCCAGCGTCTAGGATATTGGCTCTTACACAGTAGGCACTCAATAAATACTTATTGAATGACTGAATGAAAGAGGTAATAGTATATGAAAGTGTTTAGAAGAAGCAAAGCATGCCAAAAAATATAAGAGATTATTTTAGCCATGAGGAATAGGACATGAACAAGTGAAAGCCCCGGATCCCTGTCCAGCGTGAAGCTGAAGACATGGTGTATTCCGGGGTCCCAGTGCCCACAGGAAATCCCACCCCAAGCCAAAATCTTGGAAACAAGGATACCCCTGAGAGCTTGCCCAAGCCAAAATAGAGGATGTCAGCACTGGAGAAGCTGCTATACAGGTTAGGATGCCCTCCTGCACAAAATAATGGAATCTGGAAATCGAACCAAATCTTCACTGAATGTAAAGAAGAGTTACTATATCTGGAAGAAAAAATCCGTTCACAGAGGGGTGGTGCCTGGAGCCTGGAGAGGGAAGTCCAGAGACCCTGCCCTTGCCCCTGTGGCTGCCCGGGCTCCCCTGACCAACTGCACATCAGCCACAATGACAGGACCCCTGGATTCCGTGGTGACTTTCCTCGCACTGTGCTTCTAAGCCAGGTTATGAGCACAATTTGCTGAGCCCTCTAGAATTCTCCCTAGAGAGAGAATGCATTGGCCAACCAATACGTTCCAGCCTGCTTGGCAGTTTTATTTCTCAATGTCAATTAATGGGTCTCTTGAGCACTTGGTAGTGGGAATTAGTTCTCTTTGACCTCCTCCCATTGGACTTGCTGGCAAATCTAATGTTCTAGACCTGAGGGCCACGGGTTAGAGTCAACCACGCTCATGGCACTGCTATCTTATCTCTCTCTGACTGCAACAAATCCAAGAGTTCAAACAAACAAAAAGCGTATTTCTCCCTTCTGTTAACTTATACTGAGGAGGAAAAGCATGTGTTATTATTTTGTTTGCTAGTTTTGAGGGCCAACTGTAAGGATTTTTATTTTGGTAGGTAGAGGAAAGTCCTGTTGAAAGCTGCATCACCAGATTCAATATTTATACTATAGCCTTTGTTTTGTTTTGTTTTGTTTGAGACAGAGTCTCACCTGTCACCCAGGCTGGAGTGGTGCAGGGGCTCGATCTCGGCTCACTGCAACCTCCACCTCCCCAGTTCAAGGGATTCTCTTGCCTCAGCCTCCTGAGAAGCTGGAATTACAGGTGTGCGCCAGCATGCCCAGCTAATTTTTTGTATTTTTAGTAGAGACACCATGTTGGCCAGGTTGGTCTTCAACTCCTGACCTCAAGTGATCCACCCACCTCGGCCTCCCAAAGTGTTGGGATTACAGGTGTGAACCACTGCGCCCAACCCTATACTACACTCTGAATTCTGCCTTAGGCTGAGCATGGTGGCTCATACCTGTATTCCCAGCACTTTGGGAGGTGGAGTTGGGAGGAGTGCTTGAGTCTAGGGGTTTGAGACCAGCCTGGGCAACATGGTGAGACCCCATCACTACAAAAAACAAAAAAAATTAGCGGGGCATGATGGTCTGCGCTTGTAGTACCAGTTACTTGGAGGACTGAGGTAGGAGGATCACTTGGGCCCAGGAGGCAGAGGCTACAGTGAGCTGAGACTGCGCCACTGCATTTTAGCCTGGGTGACAGAGTGAGACCCTGTGTCAAAAAAAAAAAAAGAAAAAAGAAAAAGAAAAAAAAGAAAAAGGAGAAATTCTGTCTTAAAGCACAGGATATTGTTTGTTTATTTACTTATTTATTTATTTATTTTGAGATGGAGTTTCACTCTTGTTGCCCAGGCTGGAGTGCAATGGTGTGATCTCAGCTAACTGCAACCTCTGCCTCCCACGTTCAAGCAATTCTCCTGCCTCAGCCTCCCAAGTAGCTGGGATTACAGGTGCCTGCCACCACGCCTGGCTAATTTTTGTATTTTTGGTAGAGACGAGGTTTCACCATATTGGCCAGGCCAGTCTCAAACTCCTGACCTCAAGTGATCTACCCACCTCGGCCTCCCAAAGTGCTGGGGTTACAAGCATGAGCCACCACGCCCGGCTTTTCTCATAATTTTGAATTTAAATAAATAATGCAGATTGACTCTGAGCTGAGAAAATTTTTAATTTATTTAATGACATAAAATTTGTATTTCACTTGAGTTTTATGTTTTTAATGCTCCTTTCTTTGACAGAAAAAGCAGACAGCTCTGAAAGAGAGGCACTCATGTCAGAACTCAAGATGATGACCCAGCTGGGAAGCCACGAGAATATTGTGAACCTGCTGGGGGCGTGCACGCTGTCAGGTAACCCACTTCCATGAAAATCACCTCATCAAAAAGACTGTAGCCTGATGACAAAGAGGATGTTTGTTTTCTCTCTCTTTTTAATTCTTTGTCTTTTCTCAGTCACAGTGTGAACTCTCAAACCCAAGTGAAATTAGACACTGAGCACTCTGTAAATCAGAGGGGTCAAAATAAAGAATGCCTCATTCACCTGCTTTGTCAGGATATATTGCATAATTCTCACCTGCTTAAAACAACAACAGCAACATTGCAAGTACATTTGGTGGTGTCTGTGCTTCTCCCCCAGCTTGGAAGCTGGTGCACAGGCGTGGTGAGAGTGGTTACAGAGCCTGGCCACTGCCCCAGTTGGGCTGCTGTCAAATACGGCACAGCCCAGCTAGGATATCAGACTTTACTTTCCCAGAATTCTCTGGGGCATGCCCTCTGATCCTCTCTCTTCTGCCTAGAAATGCCCAAATGATGTGCCTAAGGTTCATTCTTTCTGCAGCAGCAGGCCTGGGGCTGGTACTGAAAGAAAGGAAAAAGAAGAAAGTGAATCTGAGACAGGACTGGGAATATATTTCTCTCTTCTCAAGCAAACTGCAAATTAGCATATAGTTACCAAGTGTTCGCTTATAATACACAGCTAGAACATTACTTTCAGTTGCAAACTGGAGAATCCGGGAGGCCAGTGGTATTGGTGAGGCCACATGTACAAACAAAGGCCACAGAGAAAGTCAAGAAGATGATGCTTTCCAAAGGAATTTGAGCAAAAGCTGAAACTGAATTTAAAGTATAAGAAGAGATAGGCTCAGAAAAATTTGTACTGTCCCCAAGTCAGTAGAGAACTGAGCCCTCGTAAGAGTATGTTGTCTGTTACATAGACTTCTGAAATAACAGTTTGCTTTGTGTATGCCTATAATTGAAACTGTAACTATTTCAGGACCAATTTACTTGATTTTTGAATATTGTTGCTATGGTGATCTTCTCAACTATCTAAGAAGTAAAAGAGAAAAATTTCACAGGACTTGGACAGAGATTTTCAAGGAACACAATTTCAGTTTTTACCCCACTTTCCAATCACATCCAAATTCCAGGTAAGAGGCTGGGTCAGGGTTTCATAATTACACATCATAGAATGTAGACAAAGTGTGCTGTTCAAACACTTCGTTGACCAGTTTTTAAAGGCATGGTGTGGTCTGTGGGTCCTGCAACCTAGAGATTTCCTGAATCTTTGCTATAGTTTCCCTGTTGACATGGAACAATGAGCCCTGTCCCTTTCCTTCAGTCCAGTTACTATAGCTGAGCTAGCCTCTTTCCACCCATGCCTGCATCACACCCTAGACGCCTATTTAGTTTGGGGAAAGGTGCATTATTCAGTCTTTCAGGACACCTGGTTGCCTCACAGGTATTGGTAGAAAGAATGAAGACTTTTTCCAAAGTCCTTAACGTATTCAAAGAGAATAGCTCAGGTCCTGGGACTACTGCGCAGGAGAAAGCTGAACTGAAATTGGATTCTAAAATATTAGGATGGATTGATTGACACGTGATGGGGACACAGTAAAGTAGCAGTAACCCTGTCTCCGCTCCATGTGTATCCTCCGCATCTGCGGGGATCCTGAGAGATGCTTGGTCCTGCAGGGATTTATTGCTTTAGCGGGCATAAGTCTGTAGGAGTTTGCTGGGCTCTCCTCCTCATCCTTGAACTTTCTTGCTAATTACTTGAGCATCATGGCTTTGTGCCTTGGAGCATTCTTTTTTTTTTTTTTTTTGAGACAGAGTTTCACTCTGTTGCCCAGGCTGGAGTGCAATGGTGTGATCTCGGCTCACTGCAACCTCTGCCTCCCGGGTTCAAGTGATTCTCTTGCCTCAGCCTCCTAAGTAGCTGAGATTACAGGCACGCACCACCATGCCCAGCTAATTTTGTATTTTTAGTGGAGACAGGGTTTCACCATGTTGGTTAGGCTGGTGTCGAACTCCTGACCTAAGGTGATCTGCCCACCTAGGCCCCGCAAAGTGCTGGAATTACAAGCGTGAGCCACCGTGCCTGGCCGAGCCTTGGTGCATTCTTATTTCCCTACCTATGTGGAAGCTCTCCCTTATTCTGAAGGGTATTTGTTTGTCGGAGACTTTTGTCTTTACCAGGGGCTTTTTAGGGATACATTTGAGAGCCCCACCTTTGTTTTCTTAGAATGTAAGTTTTAGTGCAGGCCTCTGGCCTTCAAGGTCTGACACAGAGACCCAGTGTCTTAAAGCCACCAGGCTCCACGGAGATTCCTATGCACATTCGTGTGCAGCTGCCCTTAACCCATGCAGGCCTGTCACACCAGTCCTCCCCTTTACACTCGTTTCACAGCTCATTGTCTGGAAATGAGAACTCTGTAAAGCCACTCACATTCTGGAACAGTGGGGCTTATCCTACTGAGTCAGATGTGTGTGACCAGCATCCACTGGTCAGTACTTAGCCTCTTTGATTCATTCTGTTCACGGGAATATTAAATATACTGAAATTATTCCTTTTGGAATATTTGTGGTCTGAAAGCATGAAGCCATTTCCTAAAGATATGTAAATTGTCAGTTGAGTTAAACTCATCTATTGGAATACATTGAATCATGATCTATTCATAATTCCTACAGAGTTCCTCAGGGAAGAACTTTTATATACCTTAAAAGAGATTTGTATTATTGCTATTTATTAATTTCACAGTAAAAAGAAATGAGCTTTGCAAAGGCAAACTGGAAAAAAGAAGGATGGTGAAACGCTTACAGGACTCTCGGGAAGATCTGTATTATGTGAGGGAAGGTGGGCTGAGTTCAGACACCAAAGAATGAGATCGACGTGAGTCCTGGTTCCACTCGAATCATATTTATCTCACGTGCCTAATTTCTCTTTTATAAAATGCCACCCATCTTGTAGGTTGTGGCAAGGATTGAGTGAGGTCCTTTTTGAACTGTAAGATTCTCTACAGAAAACAGGGATTACTTTTATCTTAGACTGGCAAGCCCAGTTACACAGATGTTTTTAATGGACACAAAAAATGGACAAATGGATGGTGTGCTTTTAATTTAAAAGTCAGTTTATAACTGGAATCCATTTATTTGATGAATTATATTTTTAAAATAAAATGTCTGCTGAGAAGAAGAATGTAAATAATGAAAAAACAAATTTTTTTAACAGCATGCCTGGTTCAAGAGACGTTCAGATACACCCGCACTCGGATCCAATCTCAGGGCTTCATGGGAATTCATTTCACTCTGAAGGTAATATTTTATTCTAAGTAGTAGCACTTTAAAATGGAAATGAATGCCAAAGTTTTATGTTAGCTATTTTTTTTTTTTTTTTTTTGAGACGGAGTCTGGCTCTGTCGCCCAGGCTGGAGTGCAGTGGCCGGATCTCAGCTCACTGCAAGCTCTGCCTCCCGGGTTCACGCCATTCTCCGGCCTCAGCCTCCCGAGTAGCTGGGACTACAGGCGCCCGCCACCTCGCCCGGCTAGTTTTTTGTATTTCTTAATAGAGACAGGGTTTCACCGTGTTAGCCAGGATGGTTTCGATCTCCTGACCTCGTGATCCGCCCGTCTCGGCCTCCCAAAGTGCTGGGATTACAGGCTTGAGCCACCGCGCCCGGCAGCTATTTTTTAAAAAGTGTGTAAACACAAAAGCATTTTAAAATTTGTTAATTGTCAGATGATAGTTTGTATAATGTAGATTTTATGTCAACATTCAACTAATAAACACTGAGGACTATTTTATTTGGTCAGATTATTCATTTAAAGTCATATACTGATTAGAGCCATCTTATTACCTGAGAAGTGGAAGAGATAATGAGTTCCGAAGTTACATAGAATTTGGATTAACTTCTGCTTACTTCGCTTTCTGACTGGATGACTTTGGACAAGTTATGTGACCACCAGAATCACAATTTTCCTATTTACAAAATAGGCCTAACACTACCTTCCTCACAGGACTGTTAGAAGGAGTAAATGAGGGGCTGGGCGTGGTGGCTCATGCCTGTAATCCTAGCACTTTGGGAGGCCGAGCCAGGCAAGTCACCTGAGGTCAGGAGTTCAAGACCAGTCTGGCCAACATGGCAAAACTCTGTCTCTACTAAAAATACAAAAATTAGCTGGGTATGGTGGTGCACGCCTACAATCCCAGCTACTTGGGTGGCTGAGGCAGGAGGATCACTTGAACCCAGGAGGTGAAGGTTGCAGTGAGCCAAGATTGCACCACTGTATTCCAGCGTGGGCAACAGAGCGAGACTTTGACTCAAAAAAAAAAAAAAAAAAAGGAAGGAGTAAATGGAAGAATATGAAATGTACAATACAGTTTATAAAATGGGATAGGTGAGCCAGGCGCGGTGGCTTATGCCTGTGATCCCAGCACTTTGGGAGGCCGAGGCGGGTAGATCACAAGGTCAGGAGATCAAGACCATTCTGGCTAACACGGTGAAACCCTTTTGTACTAAAAATACAAAAAATTAGCATGAGCCTATAGTCCCAGCTACTCGGGAGGCTGAGGCAGGAGAATCCAGTTGCAGCGAGTCGAGATGGTGCCATGGCACTCCTGGGCGACAGAGTGAGACTCGTCTCAAAAAAAAAAAAAAAAAAGGAATCAACGCTTAATTAATATTAATTCCTTTCCCACTGTGACAGCCCTACCTAGTATAAAAGGGAAGTATCTAAAACTCCTGACTAATCAATCAGGAGGTCATCGGTCATCAAAGCAATTCCAAAGTTTATCTCTAACCAAAACAAGTTTCCAGTGACCCTTGGTAAGCAGAGTAAACAGGTCAGCTCTAATGCTGCTGCGAAGATAATGCCATAGCTTCATGTGTATGTCTTAGCACCTCACCTAACTCTGGCTAGAATAACCTCCCCATAGAGATTTAATAAGACAACTTCTTAGGGTTTTGGCAAAAGTGAAGACTGGCTCTATTTTACAGATGAAATTGAATATGAAAACCAAAAAAGGCTGGAAGAAGAGGAGGACTTGAATGTGCTTACATTTGAAGATCTTCTTTGCTTTGCATATCAAGTTGCCAAAGGAATGGAATTTCTGGAATTTAAGTCGGTACGCTCCTTTTAAAGAAAAAACAAACCAAAAAAAACATTCGAAAAGATGTGCTTATATATTTTTTCTTGTTTGTTTTAACTCGTATCCCTTAAAGTCTACCTTTTCTCCCCCGTTCGCTGTTGGAGTCACCTAGAATGTTACCTTGGCTCTTGGCTAATTGTGGTAGCATAAAGGCTTGGGATCCCCTGTGAGGTCACGGCTAGCACAGCCCTCCCAGCCTGCACAAAGTCCCCTGAAACTTCCAGGGCTGAAGGTGGAGATAGGAAGTCCTCAGAAATCCTTCCTCAAAACAAAGTATGGCATTGTCAATCCCTTTCTGAACAGCTGTTCAGGTTGTGCCCTGCATGTGGGCATTCACTCAGGGGATGAGTGGAGGCTGAAATCCAGCCAGCCACCCTGCGTGTCTTTGTCTAATTTGCACCCTACGTGCTGTGGGCTGGCAGCAGCTCTGTAGGCTCACTGCCTCCTCTGTTGCTAACCCCAGATCCATTCAGGCTGTGTTGGTAAGGCCCTGGAGCCTGCCGTGAACCATGGTCTCTACCCCAATTTTACTTTCTTTTTGAACTGCCTTTCCGCCCACTGTTCTCTGTGATTTCAAACGTCTCCTGCCTATAAGCAGATCACAGCCCGCCGTCTGGCTACCTTCCTTCCTCGTTTGCTTGCCTTTCATTACCTTCTCTTTATTTCCCAAAATTCTTCCCCTTCATTTTTCTTGCAGTCTTCTATTCTCCTCCTCCTCTTCTCCTCCACTTCCTTCCCCTTGCCTCTTCTCTCCTCTTTTCTCTCTGAATTTGGAAAGACTACTTTCAATTGTATTTTGTTTTTTTCTTTTCCTTTTCTGGAGACAGAGTCTCGCTCTGTTGCCCAGGTTCGAGTGCAGTGGTGCGATCTCAGCTCACTACAACCTCTGCCTCCTGGGTTCAAGCAATTCTTATACCTCAGCCTCCCATGTAGCTGGGACTCTGGGCGCGCACCACCATGCCTGGCTAATTTTTTGTATTTTAGTAGAGATGGGATTTCACCATGTTGCCCAGGCTGGTCTTGAACTCCTGAGCTCAAGCAATCCACCTGCCTCAGTCTCCCAAAGTGCTGGGATTAAAGGCATGAGCCACCGCACCCAGCCTTTTTCCTTTAAAAATTTACTGTCTCAGTCAGACGTTCATGGTGCGTGTCTGTAGCTCCAGCTACGTCGGAGGCCAAGGTGGGAGGATAGCTTGAGCCCAGGAGTTGGAAACTGCAGTGAGCTAGGATCGCACCACTGCACTCCATCCTGGGTGACAGAGCAAGACCCTTTCTGTAAAAAACAAAAAAATAGGTGGCTGGGCGCGGTGGCTCACACCTGTAATCCCAGCACTTTGGGAGGCCCAGGCGGGCGGATCACGAGGTCAGGAGATCGAGACCATCCTGGCTAACACAGTGAAACCCCGTCTCTACTAAAAATACAAAAAAAATTAGCCGGATATAGTGGCAGGCGCCTGTAGTCCCAGCTACTTGGGAGACTGAGGCGGGAGAACGGTGTGAACCCGGGAGGCGGAGCTTGCAGTGAGCTGAGGTGGCGCCACTACACTCCAGCCTGGGCAACAGAGCGAGACTCCATCTCAAAAAATAAATAAATAAATAAATAAATAAATAAATAAATAAATAAATAAAAAATAGGCTGGGCCCAGTGGTGTATGTCTGTAATCCCAGTGCTTTCAGAGGGAAGCCCAGGGATTTCCAGGCTGCAATGAGCTATGACTATACCACTGCTCTCCAGCCTGTCTATTCAAAATAATAATGAAATAAGCTTAAAAGCAATAATAATACAAGTTTTTAAAAATTACTGTCACAATAGTATTTCCCCACCTCTCAACTGCAAGGCCCATTCTTCTCTTCATTTTCCCCACCTGCTGCTTGGATTCTTCTTTCTCACGCATCTTGCCCACCTCAGTCTTTCTCTATTTCACTTACACATCTACAATCCTGCTTTCACAAGCATTTTTTTTTTTTTTGAGACAATGTCTTGCTCTGTTGCCCGGCCTGGAGGGCAGTGGTGCAATCTCAGCTCACAGCAACCTCTGCCTCCCGGGTTCAAGCGATCCTCCTGCCTTGGCGTCCCTAGTAGCTGGGGTTACAGGTGCACCACACTTGGCTCATTTTTTCTATTTTTGTGGGGACAAGGTTTCACTATGTTGGCCAGACTGGACACGAACTCCTGACCTCAAGTGATTTGCCCGCCTCAGCCTCCCAAAGTGCTGGGATTACAGGCGTGAGCCACTGTACCTGGCCCACAAACATCTTTACAGATGTGGGAGAGCACCTACTTAGATTGTCTGGCCTGGTTTGCTGCCCATAGTTAAGTAAATACTCAAACCACTCCCAACTGGTGGTCAAGGGCACTGCTTCCCCTTCAACCCCAGGCTTGTAATACTATGAATTTTTGAAGAACATCCAGTTTCTTAGGCCCTCTATCCTTTTATCTTCACATCAGGCCTCCCCTTTGAATCATGCGTGTCACTGTCCCCTGCTTGTCTCTCACCCCCGCCCTGATACTCCTCGGGTACCCCTCAGTTTACTCTATAGGCCCTTGACTTCATCAAACATTTGTTGAGCCCCAGCTACGTGCCAAGCACTGTCCTAGATGCTGGAAATACAGAGTCAGTTATGATATGACTCCTGGGCTTGAAGATTTTATGAATGACAGGGGAGACAGAGATAAGCAGACATGCAAGTCAAAGATGACACAGAGGCTGGGGACGGTGGCTGAGGCCTGTAGTCTCAGCACTTTGAGAGGTCGAGATGGTGGATTGCTTGAGGCCAAGAGTTCAAGACCAGCCTGGCCAACATGGCGAAACCCCATCTCTGCTAAGAATAAAAAAATAGCTGGGCATGGTAGTGAACGCCTATAATACCAGCTACTTAGGAGGCTGAGGCATGAGAATTGCTGGAACTGGGAGGCAGAGGTTGCAGTGAGCAGAGATTGCACCACTGCACTCCAGCCTGGGTAACAGAGTGAGACTGTCTCAAAAAAATTTTTTTTAAAAATTAAAAAAGTTTAAAGAAAACAACACTATAGTGTGGTAAGTGTTGCGATTGAAGTAAGTTCTGGGAACCCAGGGGAGGGATCTGCACAGCAGACCTGGCTAGGGGAGGGGGAGATGCAGTGGAAGAGGCTTTCTGAAGGAACGCATGCTTCATGCTTGGACTGATGGAGGTTTTTGAAGGAAAAGGAAAACCAGCAGGGAATGTGGAATAGGATAGGGAGCATGGAATCAGGAGGAGGTTTTTTTGGATAAAGGTAATGAGTTGGACATACTGAATGTGAGGTGCCTTGGGCAACCAAGTAGAGCTTGGTCTAGCAGACACTTGGACACTCCTGTCTGAAGCTCAAGAGAAGTGTTTGGGTTGGAAATAGGGATGTTGGCAATGGTAGTTGCATCCCTAGATTTGGATGAAATGGCTTGGGTGAGGGTGTGGGATGTGAGGATGCAGCCCTCAGGAGTGAGAGTAGGCTCATGCACAAAGCCCCTGAGGGAGACAGGAGCCGGCAGAGCAGTGGGGAGAAAGCAGGAGTGAACCATGCACAGGGTTCCCAGAGGAAGGACCAGAAGCGGGAGGGGCTGGCCACCAGCAGCAGACACCACAGGGAGGTCCCGTCAGATCGACACTGGGTGGGTGCCATGTCAGTCAGTGCGGGCTTTGGCCAGAGCAGCTTGGGCAGACAGGCAGGAGGAGCAGGCAGGTTGCAGACCTGGGGGTGAAGTGGGCAAAGTGCAAGTAGACAGCACTGAAAAAACTGGGTATGGAGGAGGGAGCTCTAGAGGGGCTGTGGCACAGGGCTGCTGGCGTTCATGGTGCTTCTTTTTCTTTTTTAAAGATGAAAGAGTGTACATTGGACCTTTGCTGCTAGTCCCTGTTCCCCTTCAGATCTTCCTTAGTAAAGTTCATTTTCTTGTGAGACCCCTTTGATTAACGTCACGACATCTCTCAGCTCAGGGACTCCTAATTCCACTTCAGTAAACCTCTCCAAACTCATTTTTAGCTTTTTGTTTTTCCGATTATTTCCTTCGATATTACTCCATTTATTCCTAAAGCTATTTTCCAGTCAGAAAAGAGATGCTAGCCAGGCGCAGTGGCTCACGCCTGCAATCCCAGCACTTTGGGAGGTCAAGGTAGGTAGATCACCTGAGGTCAGGAGTTCGAGACCAACCTGACCAACATGGCAAAACCCTGTCTCTACTGCAAACACAAAATTAGCCAGGCGTGGTGGCGCATGCCTGTAATCCCAGCTACTTGGGAGGCGGAGGCAGGAGAATTGCTTGAACCCAGGATGCAGAAGTTGCAGTGAGCCGAGATCACGCCATTGCACTCCAGCCTGGGCAACAAGAGTGAAATTCCATTTCAAAACAAAAAAAAAAAAAAAAGAAAGAAAGAAAAGAGATGCTATTTCTCACACCCACAATAACAGTACTGGAGGACAGCCTCTGAGACTCCCTCTGGAGGCTCAGAGGAGGGCCCCTGTTGGGGAGCCTCTCACTTTTGCTCAGAAGCTGCAAAAGATTCACTCTTCTTTGGCCTCTGGGGATGCTTCAGAAGCTGCACAAATAACTGCAGCCACCATAGGTGCAGAATTAGGTCTCTTATGTTCCCTTTGTTTGTTACACATCGTCATGACCGCTCACGGCACGACCCAGTAAAGATAAGAGGCCTTCTATCATCGGTACCTCCTGCTGAACTTGAGCCTAGAAGAAAGATTGCACTCCAGGATAATATACATCACAGTAAATAACACTCCGGTGTCATTCTTGACAGTGTGTTCACAGAGACCTGGCCGCCAGGAACGTGCTTGTCACCCACGGGAAAGTGGTGAAGATATGTGACTTTGGATTGGCTCGAGATATCATGAGTGATTCCAACTATGTTGTCAGGGGCAATGTGAGGCTGCTATTTCCTACTTATTTTTATGCTGCTATTTTGTGTTTTGTCGTTATCATGGTAAACATCTGCACTCACTGTGGTGCATTTTTGATTAATGGTAACATCAAAAAACCCTCACAGCAGTCTGCTTGCTTATGCTTAAAAGGTTTTTCTGCAGCTTCAGGGAATCTTCCATCTATAATAAAAGCTGAGCAAAATAGCATCACATCTGTCCTCA